AAGAAGCTGTAAGTTCTAGGTGGTGTCGAACAGAAGGAACACTGAGCACTTTCTGGACAGATGAAAATTTAAGAGGCTGAAAAGAAGGTAGGAGGGGCATGGGGTGCTGTGGATGTCCTGCACCGCCTACAGGGCAAATGTGCTGATGCCTGCGGTGACAAGGAGGTGACACTGGCCTAACAAGGTAAACACACTGCTAGGAATTGAATGTTTAACCCTGTGGAGTCTGGACTTATATCCTAAGATTGCCAGAAACTGAGTCAGAGATTTTACATGAGGCAATTGGAGCTTATGAGGGTCACTATCTGGGCAGTATAGGGACCAGCTTGGAGGATCAGAAGCTCCAAGGAGCTCAAATGGCAAACAGGAGTAGCCTAGATGGGCTATCAAAACCTGTCCAGCCCAGTCCTGCAGGAGGGGACTTACAAAGTCAGGGCTATAGCAGACTCCAGCCAGCTGATTGGATACGTCCATAACCTCATTCTCCAAAATGTCCACACGAATCTTCTCCTCTTCTGTCTCCCCACCTATAAGCACATAATAGAGACTCACCCCCACCATCCTACACCAGCCAGCCCAGGGGCATGGCCACCTGACCCCCAGCAATCCACCCACAACCCCACTCACATAGGTTGTGCTTGCGAGCAATGTAGCGAAGGATGGCGTTGCTCTGGGTGAGCCTGTGAGACCCGTCAATTAAGTAGGGCAGCTGGAAGGGCAACAGGGGCAGGTCAGTAGAACACCGGGTCCCCTGCATCCTCTCCCTTCATCCAGGGTGGAGATGCAACCTGGCCCAGTGTCCGGCCCATGGTAGGCACTAAATAAATATATTGTAAAATGAATGAGGCTGAACACAGAGCATCATGGAAAAGCAAGGAAGAGAACCAGGAAGCCGAGAGGCTAAGTTGAAGGCCCCAGATCCGGAAACCTCTAAGCTGGGAAAGGAGATCCCAGAGTAGAGGGACAGTTCACTTCCCCATAGCACCCCCATCCGCAGCACCTACATTGGGGAAGTCGAGGCCCAGCTGGAATTTTTCGCTCAGCCACTGGCTTCTGTCATAGTCGGGAGCTGTGGTGGAGAAGATGGAGTGAAACAAACCTCCCCAGAGGTCAACCATCTTTCTCGGGGAACCTACTGAGCAATGCCAACGCCCCTGACAGGTGGATCTGGAATCCAAACCACTAACTCTCAGTCCAGGTTTGGGAAAAACACTTAGAAGTCTCAGGAACCTACATGGGTAAGGCTCACACAAGGTGTAGACAAGCCCTAGGGGAAGCCTCCCAGGTACTGACACAGGGGGCCCAGCAATCCCCTCCCCTGTCCTGTCTGAGAAGGCCAAGCTGCACCCTCAGAGGGGCTCGGGAAGGGGCCGTAGAGGTGAGCAACAGGTGGCCAGGGCACAGGTGCCTGGTACCAAATCAGCAGGCATTGGGCTGAAGTCAAAACAGAAGGAGGATGCCATTACCGTCCCCCATCGTGTACTTCTTCTCCTCATAGTTGGAGGCTGTGTACTCCAGGAGCAGGCGGATGGCGTGAGCCAGCTGGGAGAGAGGGCCGCGACAGTGGTCAGAGTTGGAGTGTCCTGACTGCGTGACTGACTCTCCGCTGCGGCTGACCCCCGCACCCTCCCACACCGCGCGCGGGCGCGCGCACGCACACACTTATTCCCCTTGAGGAGAGGCCGCCGGATGGGGCTGGTCTCCATCCCCCCTCCCTGAGAACCGTTTTGGCAGAACCGGCCCCCAAGCTGTGCAGCATTTCTCGATCCTCCCGCCTCCATCCCCTCTCCAGGACAGACTCTTCTCTCACCCCGCGGATATCCCAGTAACCCAAAGTCATGGTCATGGTCAGCGTTTCGTGGTTTCACGGAACTCTGCAAAGTTGGACTGGAAGTTCATCCGGGTGCCTGGGCCCGGCCGGGGTGGGGCGTGACTGAGGCCCCGCCCCCCGCCCCCTATACGCCGCGCACTCGCCAACTACCCAATCTCTCTGGCCTCCGAGATCGCCGCACGCGAGACTCCGGAGCCCGGCGTCTGGGTCCCAAGCCGGGAGGAAATAGTCCATTTCCGCAACCGAGCCGGGGGCAGGGTTCGAGATCCAAAGTCTGGACGCTGAGATGAGGAACTTCTCTGACTCGGGCTCGCCAGGGTCCCCCAGCCCGCTCCGCGGCTCCCCGCCCGCATTCAGATCCCGATTAGATTGGGAGTCAGCAGTGCGCTTGGAGGTCTAGTCGGAATCGCGAAAAGAACAAGGCTCCTCTCCTTGCCCTTCCCCTTGCCCCGCCCTCCAGGCGTGGCTCAGCTTGGTCCCTGGACTGCAGATTTCCCAAGGTCTCAGAGAGGCTCCTGCCAAGGAAAAGCTAAAGTGGCACCCTCAAATCCAGAGCTCAGATCACCCCCTGTCACAGAAACACTGGCTAGTCTGAAAGCTCCTCTAAGACCTGAGAATCCCTGACAGCCTCTGTCTTCAGGAGCACTCTGTAGTGGGATAGCAATACCCACCGCCAGGGGCAGAGAACATGAAGTTTGCTCTCCGTGTTCTTTTTTTCATGGACTTTGGAGAACCCAGCCAATCAGTTAAGTGGCTAAGAGTGATAAGGATCGCATGTACATTAATCTAATGGGCCCCAACCTTTTTGGCACCAGGGACCAACACTCCTATGAGAATCTAACGCCTGCTGATCTGAGGTGAAGCTGAGGCCGTGATGCTAGCTCTGGGCAGCAGCTGCAAATACAGATGAAGCTTCCTTCTCTGGCTAGCCTGCTCATCCTGCCGCTCACCTCCTGCATGTACGATCAGGCTCCTAACAGGCCCCCTAGGGGTACCAGTCTGCTGCCTGGGGACCAATCCCTGTATTAATCAAGTTGCTTTATGGACTAGGTTATGAACCTAAATCCAGAACCAGCTCCTGCACAGGGGGAGGATATCGAGGTGCAGCCCACAGGGAGGCGGTATCAGCCATGCACACACAGAAGTGCTTCCCCTCTTTTAACAGTTATAGTTTTTATACTACGTTAAGGATTTGCCATTCTGTGTTTTATACATCTTGAGCTTGGAACAGAAACATTAGTGGAGTCAACTGAGTAAATGTATTTTTTTAAAAGCTAATATTAAACAATATTTTTAAATAAGTCAAACAGATAGTGTTACATTAGCATTCATCCATTCAGTCATTCCTTTATTGAAAAAACAATTTAGACCTTGTCATTTCATAGGCACGGTGAATAAGATAATCTTGACTATGAAAGAATGGAAGTTGGGTGGGAACCACAAGGGAAAGATGTTTTTAAATAGACAGATTTTAGTGTGAACTGGAATAAGCAGATTGGAAAAGAATCATCTTATTTGGTTTTATTGATATTTCTTCAATGTATGTATAACTCGCATTTATTTCAATGTTTAATATTAGAAGTGTTTTGGGTCTCCATTGAGAAGTTTGGTGACCAGAAATATGCCTTAGGAACTCAACTATTGTTTATATCAATTAGCCAGTGGTAAAACTGGTTTCCTTATCATTATTTTGCTTAAAGTTGCGGTTTCCAAGAACTTTACAGAGGACTTAACTGTACTCTCGCTTTTCCCTTTGTTAAAAGTGCCAACTCTAAAAAAAAGTGCCAACTCTGCTATCATTCATTCAACAAATGTTTCAGTACCCTATGTACTGGGCTCTGCATTTGACTCTGAGAAAACAGAGGAACAATCCCTACCCGCGGGAAGCCCGTGGGTTAGTTTTGTGCTATGCAATATGGTAGCCACGGGCCACATGTGGCCACTGAGCACTTGAAATGCGGCTAGTGCGACCAAGGAACTCAATTTATTTTATTTTATTTGAATTAATTTCAAAAACTGATAATTTATTCATTGAAAATCTTTTAGATGTGTTTGGTTGGGTATATGAATCAACTTTTTTCAACTGTAAATGTTTTGAAATCTAGATACAGATCAAGTATTTCCAATGCAAAATTTTAATTTCAATTTAAAAATTTAATTGAGATGTGCTGTAAGTATAGAATATACCTTGGATCTCAGAGACATAGTGGGGGGGGGACATTTGTACAATATATCATTAATTTTAAATTGATTTACATGTTTAAATGATAACATTTTGGACATATTGGGTTAAATAAGATACATTATAAAAGCTACTTTCTTCTTGCTAATGTGGCTGCTGGAACATTTAAATATTTCCACTGGATGGAGCTCATCTAGAGTATGAGATCAACAAAGAAGACCCGCCTGATGTGGCAGCACCGGGGGGAGGTCTGCTTGTGCCTAGGTCACGAGAGAAAGGTCAGGAAAGTCTAAGGGAGCAAAGTGTGAGTGACCTTGGGAGGTGCACTCAGATGTGGGCATTGCCATTCTGGACAGAAGGAGTACACAGAAGCATAAAGCAATGGGCACTTTCCAGGGACTGCACGGAGTGTGGAGCGATGGTCAGAGAGGCCAATCTCTTCATCTGGCAGGCACCGCCCATGGTCAAGAACGCAGTTGAGAACAGCAAGGGCATCATGAGTACTGGGGAGTCGGGGCTGCCCCTCTGCCCCCATGCTTTGCCTCTCTTGATCTGAGGGCAGGTTTGTGCTGCTTGCCTTGGGCTCCATCATTGAGAGAGACTATGGTACGCTGGCTTCTGAAGTCCATATACACATTTCAACATGCACTTAATAATTTAGCAAAACCCAGTGTCTGAAGGTAGTGCAGGGCTCTTGGTGCCTGAAACATTTAGAAGATCCTAAATGCTTACCTTAGTCAAAATGGCAATGTACCTTCGTGCTATTGTTGACAAGGCGGGAGAAAGCGATGGTGAATTCCACTTCTCAGATGTGGAGGTTGAGATGAGCACTGCGAAGTCTGTTGGGAGAAAGCGATGGTGAATTCCACTTCTCAGATGAGCACTGCGAAGTCTGCTGGTTTGGCCTTGGGAGGATTGCTGGCAGATAACTGGAGTGCTTTTAGAGGCTGCCTGATGAGGGCACCACAAGTGGCAGCTCAGAGGGGTTGAGGAGACTCTGGAAATCACAGAGATGGAGAGAGGAACAAGGCTCATAAAATGCTGGCGTTTGGAGTCTGGGAACCTCATTTTAACTCTGGGCTACTGGGCACTGATTTCCCACATTTTTTTTATGGAGCATAAAAATTGGAGAGAGTAAGAAGCATCCTACTTTATCAATGTACTTTTTTCTTGCCTTCTAACATCCAGCATTCTAATATCAAATCAACTGATTTTAGAATCAGGATGTCTGACAATCAATGACATATTGTAGTTTACCTTGTAGTTTTTTTAAATTTCTCATGTGTGCATAGGATAACAGTGCTTCTCATAATTGATGGGATAGTCTGTGTGCTTTTCCCCTTCAATATGGCGTATTGTTACAGCCTGTTTCTCAGAGCACACTTGCATATTCTGTTAACATTTTGTTATGCAGAATGCATGGAAGGTCTAGAAAGTCACTCCAGCACAGACACAGGATGACACTGATTCCTTTAGTGAACCGAGCGGCCAAGGGCCATGGTGGTCTCGGGAACACCAAGGTAGTGACAGCGGGCTGTGTCACAGGATTTTAGGGCGTGGCCCGTGAGTGATGTGTTTCTACCCTGCCCCTCACCCACAGCAGGTGGCTAGTTGGTCAATCCCTTCACAATGAATAAAGGAAATTTCCTGCACCTGGAAAATAAGGATTATAATATCTGTCCTATCTCCCAAAGCTACATAGATCAAGGGACAGTGATCTCGAGCTCAAAAGAGTTATACCCAATTACGGTGTAAACAAAGAAAGCTGTTGATGCAATGGGTTAGACTATACACAAGAAGATGGAAAATATGTTAGAAAGATGCAGGCAATTCCTGGCTGGCTCATTCAGGCAGGTTCCTGGTTGGGTTGCTTAACTTACATTTTTTAAAATCAGCCTTTCCCACAGCTCTATTGACTTAAAAGTAGTAATTCCCAACCTTTCCGTACATTACGATCACCTGGAGAACTTATTAAACAATACGGGGCCTCACCACAAACCAGGGAAGTCAGAATCCCTGAGGGCAGTGGCATCCAAGGTTTTAAAAGCTCCCTAGATGACTGACTCTCTCGTGGAGCATGTTAAATAGTTGCTTTACAGCATATGCTGTCTCCTTGTCAAAAACGTGATATCCACACTCCAAGATCTTGTCAGAAGATGTAAGTCTGAACTCTCTGCTACTTGATATTTATCAAATGCTCAGCTGCAAGAAATAATATTCCTTATATTATTTCTGCAATCCATTGATTCCTTTAGAATGGCTTAAAACCTTGGGTTAAAACAGACTTTCAGAAAGTGATTCTTCATACCACACTTTAAAAAATGGTGATAAAATTCACCATCTTGACCTAGACTACCCTTTGGGGGCCCTCATAGGATGGCTTTAAAGGAACAGAGCTTTGGCCTTTTGACGACTGCCTGCTGCTACTGGAGACGCCAGGGGACATCCCCTATGGCACTTGAGACCTCTGGCATCATCAGAAACAGGTGTTCCTGCGTGGGAAGCAGAAGAGAGTAACAGCTTAAGGCTATTTTTTACTGTTCTTACAAAAGGTACCCAAAGACCAGGGTGTCCCTTCTCAAATTGTTTACTATAGATCCTCGACAAAGAAAGAGCCTGAGGGATTTTAAGTACCTCTTGCTTTTTTTTTTTTTTTTGGTGTGCGTGTGCATGCGTGTGTGCGTGCGTGCATGTGCATGCGTGTGCATGCGTGTGTTTCCAACAGAGAGCTGCAGCCCGCAGTGCCAGCCCTGAGGAAAGCGATAGGTTCTCCACCACAGTAAGTTGCCCGGGGTGTCGCAAGGAGGCCTGGGGACATGTAGCAGGCACTCTGAAAGGCCGATGAACAGAGTCAGCCGTGGATCATCCATCCAGACTGTAGAAGAAGTGCCCCGTAGGGAGAGGGCAGGGTCGGAGCAGGCAGTGTAGACAGAAAGGAGGCAGAGCCCTTGTGGCAGGGAGCCTTGTGCTGTCCCTCACACTGGGATCCAAGTACAGCCTGGCTCAGGAATGGAAGGCAGGCCTCATTTTGGTGGATCCTAAAACATTTTCTTAGACGAACACTGCAAGAAATAGCCCCCTGAAACCTGCCATTATATTTTCCCTTGTGGATACTGTGGATGGTGTTCACGATAATGAGATTCTTTGGGAAATATTCCCTCAGGAGTTATTACTGGAACAGGGGGGCCCTCCCCAAGCCTCTGGTTTGCATTTTTATTTTATAGGC